AATAGACGATGAAAGGAGATTTTGGATGATAATGGATTTTAAAAGCGGAGAAGGAGGTTATCTGTTTTTGATGTTAGGAGATAGAACATCCAATCTTGAGTAGTGAACGAGTACCGGAAAAATTTAAACCGTATAAAATTTATTTGTGAATAAGAGATAAAAAAAGCAAAAACACAAAAGAGGACAAAGCATGACCATATGATGCATGGCCCATCGAATTATTAAAACTCATTGATAAAGATGTTATTGATGTAATGGTTGAACAATTTAATCTAATATATTAGACTTAGAACACTATATACAACCTTTGTGGCAATACCCAAAAAGTCAAATGCAACATCCTGCTCAGATCACAGAACAATAGCTTTAATGAGTTACACACTTAAAACATTTTTAAAAATAATACACAGCAGAATTATTAAAACTCGTAAATAAGAAATTGGTAACACACAATTTGGCTTTAAAAATGGTGTGGGCTTGAATATGCTGGCCCAAAAATGCATCTATATTAATCAGGAAACACACTTAGATTTTATAGATTTTAAAAAGGCATTTGGTACAATTTAACATAAAAAGCTTGTGGATATATTAAAAAGCAAAAATATTGATAGTCGTGATAAGAAATTATTTCTAATCTGTATTGGAATCAAACTGCCAAGGTAAGAGTTGGCAATCAGAACACCGAGATATCAAAATACAGAGAGGAGTCCGCCAGGATTGCGTGCTATTACCAGTACTTTTTAATGTCTACAGTAAAGCGATATTTAAAGAAGCGCTCTCAGATTCAATAGAAGGTACATCTATCAATGGCGAAGTTTTGAATAACTTATGTTATGCAGACGATACGGTAATAATGACGGATAAAATAATTATTTACAGAACGCAACGCTACGCCTTAATGAACGCAAAACATCTAATTGATTGTAGAAGATACTTTATTTAAGAGTGTGGATATCTACAAATACTTGAAAACATGGATAACATCAAATGTTAACCAAACCAAAGAAATTACGACACGTATTGAAATAGCACGTGCATCATTCGTGCAACTTAAAAAGTTTCTTTGTTTCGGAATATAAGATTAGGACTACGCCCACAAATGCTTCAATGATATTTATTAATTACTCTTCTTTATTGCTTGGAAGCGTGGACATTGAAACAAGTGCATCTAAATAAGTTGGTCTCCTTGGAACTTTGGTGTTACAGAAGGATCCTACGACTAAAAGAATGTCAAACGAAGAAGATACTAGACGAATAGCAAATGAAGCTGAATTATTGTTGACTATCAAAAGAAGAAAACTTGGGTACTTAGGATATGTGACTCACTATTGCAACTTATTAAGCCAGGTACAATTCGAGGACAGCGAAATGTGGGAAGACTATAAGAATATTGTGGCCTAAGAACTTGAGAAAGTGGTCTGAATGCAGTAGTGCAGATCTCTTTGGAGCGGCAGTCAACATGGTCCGCATAGCCATGATGATTTCCAACCTTCGATAAAAGATGAGACTTGAAGAAGAAGAAGGGTTTAAAAGTGGTAGCAGTTCTGGTCTATGAACGCTAATTGGGAGAAGTTGCACTTTAAGTTTTTGCAGTATTTATTGTAAGTACAAACCAGTTATTATTTGTCGGGAGATTCATAGACAATGAGATTTCTGGTAGCTGAAAGGGATCGAAAAGAGTTTTAGAAAATTAGAAATTTAGAAATTATATTTAATTTTTTTATAGATTACAAAATCATTATATATATATATATATATATATATATATATATATATATATGTATATATATATATATATATATGTATATATATATATATATATATATATATATATATATATATATATATAATATATATATATATATATATTTATGATATGTAAAATCGAGAAAAATATCGGTTTGCTTAAAATATTTCAAACTTCAAAAAATTAAAATAATTCAGATAAGTCGAAAATTAAACTACAAACATTTCAAAGAATGAAAGTCCTTTATCTTTGGATTACCTATATTGAACAAAACGTAAGATATGCATAAATTATTTTCGTTGTTAAAATATATTTGAGTGACGTGAGGAGCTTAACTGAAATCCTAGACAATGAAAGTGGGTTTCCCAAATAAATTTATGCAGTAATTAGGAAAATAGAATAGATTTTAGAAAGATATGGAAAAGGAAAAACGTAAAGAAATCAATATGACTGTAGAGGATAAACCGAAAGAACAAGAAAAAAATCAAACAGAAGAGAAAAGGAGAAGGAAGAAAAAGAAGAAGAGTTCGAAAAAAAAGTAGGAAAACAAGATGGAGACAAGAGAAAAACAGCAAATAGAAGGTACAGAAGAATTGTTGGCAACCGACAATAAAACAGAAAGGAAGCAGGAAGAAAAGGAAGTTATCATCAGAGAAATGAAAGGAATAGAAACATGGTGCTCGGAATACCAAAGGGAATTAGAGGATAGAAATAAAACAGAAGAAGAAATAGCAATGATGGACGAGAATCCAGAATTAGGTGAAAAAATATTATGGACAGTGAACACATGTGAACAAAATGAGGATGAAAGAAAAATAAGTTGTGGAGAAAACAGGGGAAAGAAAATAGAGATTTTAGAAAATTATGGAGATCTTATTAATGAAGAAAGCCGAGTGGCTAAAAATTATGAACATTCTGTTAAGGTTAAATACTTGGAAAAATTTAAATCGAAAACATATCCAATCCCGTATAAAGACAGGCAATATACGGGGTATTTTAACATTCACGACATCTATCAGTATCATGAGTAGATTTTAATAACATAGTGAAATAATTTGATCCTGGAAAACTTTTGTCATTTTTAAAATTTAACAAAGAGTTTTCGGCAGATCAAATGGCGGGGATTTGTTATGATATGTAAAATCGAGAAAAATATTTCAAAGTTCAAAAAAATTAAAATAATTCAGATAAGTCGAATAATAAACTACAAACATTTCGAAGAATGAAAGTCCTTTATCTTTGGATTACCTATATTGAACAAAACGTAAGATATGCATAAATTATTTTCTTTGTTAAAATATATTTGAGTGACGTGAGGAGCGTAAGTGAAATCTTAGACAATGGAAGCGGGTTTTCCAAATAAATTTATGCAGTAATTAGGACAATAGAATAGATTTTAGAAAGATATGTTTTTGTTAGTTCATAAGAATTGGTAGAAAAAGATTAGTTTGTAAATAATGTTCGGAAATTTTATAATTGTAGGTAAAAATTTGTTTGTGTTATCGAAATGAAGAAATGGGAGATGTATGACGCGTTTTGATTGGATGAGATTAAAAAAGGTGGGATGGTTGGTTTGAGAATAAGACTTTAGTTAGTTTTTGAAGAAAATAAAGATCGTCAGTTGGTTTCCAAGGGTGCAAGGCAAACGGACGTTGTTCTCGGGTAGTTTCCCAGAGGTAGGAAGCAGTAGCAGTGAAAGTTTGTGAGTTTTCGTGTAGCTAGTGTATCTGATTCAGTAGCTGATCCAGTAAAAGATTGTAAGTCATATTTTTCTACTTATATTTTAAGAGTCACTGTTCAGGCCAACGAGAGATTTAGTTTAACGTAAAGAGAATATATTCCAAGAGTCATTTTTCACTTAGACCAACGAGAGATTCAGTTTATCTAGAGGAGAAGAGGCTAGCATAATTTGAACGATTCGTGCATTAGAAGGAGATCATGAAGGACGATAAACTTGCAACAATTTGTTGTAAGATTGCTGATTACCTAGGGAGCTACTAAGAATAGATAGTCTAGGCTAGAAGGAACAAGGATTTGGACCACTCATCATCATAGAGAGATAGTTTTGTTTTTCTGCAGTTTTTCTTTTATTGATAACACAATTTTTACAATTACTTTAGAAAAGATATAAATATTTTGATTAGGAGATTTGGAATAATAATTGGGATTTTGAGATTTTAACTAATATTGTTAGTACCATTAATTTTGAAGGTTCACGTACGTAGAACAAAATTTTGAGAATCATTATATGAGATATTGTTTATTAAAAACATTTGAGTGTGAATTTTATTTCATTATTTTTATTTCAATATATAATGTTATATCATATATGTTTTTTATTATTCTTGTATTCTTTGGACCTTACCTTTCACATGTAAAGCATAGATATTGAAGCACGAATATAACCCTGAGATAAGAGAATTAAAAAGTGTGATAGAATCATAATCATATCATTTAAATAATTTTAATTAATTAGCTAATTAATTGCTTGGCGCACTAAGACTTTTAAATATCACAATAATATATATATATATATATATATATATATATATATATATATATTTATATATATATATATATTTATATATATATATATATATATATATATATATATATATTTATATATATATATATATATATATATATATATATTTATATATATATATATATATATATTTATATATATATATATATATATATATATATATATATATATTATTAATTCATATTGTGATTATGTATATGATATCAAGCCCATCCTTACATATGCGTCGGAAACATGGAAGATGACAAAGAGCGATGAAAAACGTTTAAGATGCTTTGAGCGTAAAATCTTTCGGCATATCTATGGTGGAGTACAGGACGGCGGATTATGCCGCAGACGCTATAATTTTGAACTTTACCGCCTGTATGAGAAACTTGATATTATTAGGTCCATCAAAATAAACCGGCTGCAGTGGTTAGGTCACATAGAGAGAATAAATGAGATGGAGCCGCCAAAACATATTTATAATCAAAGAATAGATAAAGTGAGATGGAGAGGTAGACCCAGAGCACGATTTAAGGATCAGGTAGAGGAAGACTTGAGAATGTTGGAAGTACAAAACTGGAAAGTCAAGGCGAAGAATAGGAGAGAATAGAGACTTATACTTGAGCAGGCCAAGATCCACCATGGGTTGTGGAGCCAATGATGATAATGATGATTATGTATATATAATTATAGTGGTTAAATAAAGACACATTATATACTTACATTTTTTAAACTTTGTTCACAAAAGGCATCCAGTTTTGTTTTTTCTTCTTCAAGAACTTGCATATTCTAAAAAAAAAAGAATCAGCTGTTAGTGTCTTAGCAATGTGTAAATACAATTATTACGTATGTATCTTGTGCGTAAGGTTCCTTTTTGGCTTGTAACATAATAACATTTTTTTCTCTATCGCTTCATTAAACATCATCTTAATTATGAACTTTGGTATAATGGTTATACCCACACAAACCCAAATGTTCCGTGAGAATATTTGGGATATATTCTGATATTCTTTATTGATGAATCTTGGTTGCTCACTTACCTGGTCTATGACAAGTAAAAATATTAGGTACAAACATACCAGGCAAAATTTACTTTGCTCCCTTAAGTTTTTATCGATATTATCTTCTGTGCATCTTTCGCTAACCGTGAAAGACATCCATTGAAATTGATTAGCCTAAAAAGCTTTTATCCGGTATTATGCGTAAAATATTGAATCTACATAAATACTGAAAATACTAGATTGAAGAAAAAGACTTACTCTATCTAATTAAATTATAAAGATTGAACGAATTTAAAACGGATCATACAATTTAATATATGTCTGTTTGAACTGCATTTGAAATAGTGGACCAATATAAAACTTGGACAAAAATAAATCCATACCCGGTGTTGGACATTGTATAAAATATCGTTCAACTATCCGTCTCCTTTTAGAACGTACCATAGTCTAGAGCGCAGCTCAAAGTCAATGTTGCCAATCGCCGTGTAATAATCCAATTTGCGGATCTTTTTGAGAGTTATATCTTCTTCGTATCTTTAAATAAATCGGATATTTGCCTATATTTTTCATTGTATTTACCAATCTACTACAACAGACTAATAACAAAAATAAACTTAATGGTTTGTAGTTATTTTAGAAACATCTAGTGGAATGATATTGGCAACACCGCTCAAAATCTCCATCTCCGATAAACGAAAGAGGGGCTTGCCTAAAGGCGGCCACTCACGATACAGCAGCGTTGTTCAACTTCGTTCTTAACTACACACTTGCTTTGATCATATTATAAAAAATCGAAATAGCTTGATTTAGCGAGAATTTTTTTAAATTATATAAAAAACAAGAATGCTTATAGCGAATAAAAGGTAAAACGTATCACGATAGAAATGCCCGAAAACTAGCAATGGACATTCTAGTTTTAAAGTTCCAAGAAGTAAAGAAAGATGCGAATGAAGAGTATGTAAGAAAAAAAAATTAACAATTTTAGAACATCCTATAAAAGAGAATTAAAATTAGCAATGCAGTCCAGTAAATCGGGTGCAGGGTCAAAATCTTGGATTCTTTGCACCAGAATCTACGTTTTATTTTAGGTTTCTTTTTACGCTTAATTATACACAAAGTAAGAGACGCTAAAATGATTGTTTGATTTGACATGGCCGAGAACCGAACAAATACTGCGGTGCAGTATGGTGTGTGGGCGCACCAGATATACCAACAAATTGAACAACGCCTCTGTCCGATTATGTCGAACGACACCGCTGTACCGTGAGTGGCCGGCTTTAGGAAGCGATAGGATGAAGTATTTGATTTTTATAATATAATTATTTGACAACCTTTTGTTGGCCAACCACCTACAGCAGAATTGAGCCGAAATACATAATATTTCGTATGTTCCGAATTTATTTCGTTCAATCTGTATAAGGATTAAAACGTTTAAGTTAAATATTGTAAAATAGTTTTGCAAAAGTACTATGAGTTTTATGAGCTTATTAAGCATATTAAAATAACTGAGACGCAATAACATGTAGGAAGTTAATTTTGTTATTTGCCCTGTTAGCAATTTTATACGAATTAAAAACATCATAATTTCTTACAAGCCTTAAATCTAGAGGTAGCTCTATTTTTGTTAAATCTAGCATGGCGTAGGAAATTTAAAAGATTAAGAGTTCAAGTTTAAACAAAAAATTTTTAGAACGATTCCTTTAAAAATAAGCCAAAAAAACCTAGACCTTAAAGGTTACAAGTAGACCTAATAGTTTAGGCATAACAACGTTGTAGATAAAAGCTTTCAGGGATAATCGAAGGTGAATATCTGCTAAATAAGGGAAGTTAGAATTGGCGTCATTGTGGATAATTCATCTTCGAATTTGTCGACTAATTTTAATATTTACATGATTTCACTAGTAATGAACTGTAAAAACTCTTACTGAAAATCTACGGAATGCCCAAGAACTGAATAAAAGTAGCTATAACATTGATCAGAAATTGGAAAATATAAAAGTAGCAATAATTAAACCAGCAAATCAAAACTTAAAACCAAAGAATAGAAAACATAAAGACTGGATGATTGAAGACATACTACTATTAATAAATGAAAGAAAATCATTCAAAACAAAGAATCCAATTAAATATAATGAAACTGATCGATTAATTAAAAAGAGAATAAAAGAAGCTAATGAGAGAATGTTACATGAGCAGTGCCAAGAACTAGAATAAATTGAGAAAAAATATGACTTTTTTAACATGCATAAAAGAATTACAAAATTAACAGGAATGAGAAAAACACTTCAAACTAGTCCACTAAGAGATGAAAGTGGTGCACTTATAACAGATATAAACGAAAAAATGCAGAGATAGACACAATATATAGCACAACTCTTTAAAGACAAAGAGAAAACAGAAGCCCCAAACGAATTTAAGGATGATACTGGGCCTGACATTATACGAGAAGAAATTGAATGAAATGCTAAATGAAACAAGCTAAATGGTGGTAAATCTCCCGGGCCTGATAAAGTTTCTATCGAATTACTCAAAATTGTGATTACTGAATCTATTGATCTTCTTTTGGATCTATTTAATACCATATATAGAACAGGTATAATACCTAAAGAATGGCTTCAATCAACATTCATACTGCTTCCCAAAAAAGCCAATTCAGAGGAGTGCAATGAACATCGTACCATAGCCTTAATGAGTCATGTCTTGAAATTGACAATAGAATACCCAAGAAAATAGATGAAGGCATAAGTAATACACAAATGGGATTTAGGAAAGGACTGGGGACATGAGATGCACTGTTTGCAGTAAGTGTTCTTTCGCAGAGATGCTTAGATATTATTCAGCAAGTATATGCCTGTTTCATTGATTTTGAGAAGGCATTTGACAGAGTGCAGCATAATCGGCTTAAAGAAATTTTATTAAATAAAAACATAGATACTAGAGACATTAGAATCATATGTAACCTCTATTAGAACCCACCAGCAAAAGTGAAAGTTGAAAATGAACTGACCGAGGATATCCAGATTCGCCGTGTGGTCCGCCAAGGGTGTATTTTATCACCCTTGTTATTCAATTTATACAATGAAGCCATCTCAGAATTAGCGCTTGAAGAGATCAGTGAGGGCCTTATAATAAACGGTGAGCCACTTAATAACACGAGATATACTGACGACACCGTCCTTCTGATAGGAACACTAGAAGAACTGCAACACCTTGCTGAACAACTAAATATACATTGCAACGATTATGGACTAAAAATAAATTTGTAGAAAAGCAAGTTCATGGTATTTACAAAAGCAAAAAACATCAAAGTTAAACTAGTACTAGATAATACAGAAATTTAACATATATCTTCGTACAAATAACTTGGAGCATGGATCACAGAAGATACTGATCAGACAAAAGAAATAAGATGCAGCATTGAAATTGCACGGTCAACTTTTAATAGAATGAGAAAACTTTTTTGTAATCGCGATATCAATATATCGCTCTGGATAAGAATGCTTTTGTATGGGGTTGAAGCTTGGACACTTAAAAAATCCAACACTAAAAACCTAGAAGCATTCGAAATGTGGTGTTACCGACGTATTTTGAAAATATCATGGATGGATCGCAAAACAAACGAACAAGTTCTCTAACAACTAGGAAAACTGCAAAGTTTTAAATTTCATAAAAATCAGGAAATTGGAATACTTGAGGCACATCATGACAGGTGAAAAATACGAACTACTAAGGAATATAATGCAGGGTAAAATCAAAGGCAGAAGAAGCGTAGGAAGACGTAAAATCCCGTGGCTACGCAATTTTCGTGAATGGTTTGGATGCAGTTCAATTGAACTATTCAGGAGCGTAACCAACAAAATTATAATTGCCACAATGATTGATTGCCACAATGAAGAAGAAGGAGATTTCACTAGAACAATTGAGATACACTGCAGAGCATTTGGGGTCTACTTGTTGGAATCACAAATACTATTTGGCAGAAAATTAATTTCAGTTTTTGGGAGGCGCTGGCGTTTTGAAAATTTCGAGTGGTATCCAAGTTTTTACATGCTTTTTCCAGCGCCTGGAAACGAGATCTTTAGAATCGCAGTTTTTTTTAGTGATAAAGTCTAACACTGTGAAAAGCAGCTGCATCTTGTGTTGGCCGAAGCGATAATAAGTTAAATGTAATTTTGGTCACTGTCTTGAATCGTTTGTCTCTCATGTTGTTAGAGAATTATTGTTATTTCCACCATATAAAGAGACGAAAAAACGTTCTTCAACGACAGTGGGCAAAAATAGCTTGACAACTAAAACTTGAAGGACAGTATAATTGATGCGATTTATAAATAACCTTTTGAAGATTTAAAAAAATTGGACACTTTGCACACACAATATTGGACTTCTCCCTTCCTAATGCCGTGAGCAAGATAAGGATATCAATGCTCTCTACTACGACAGTCACAGAATTATCGGCTTGAAATACAGCAAGCGCAGAACGGATGATGACTGTATCTGCATAAAATTCAGTCTGGTCGACGATAAAACCCACTTCTGATGTAGCAATTTTGAGAAGGTCTACTAAGTTTGTTTCGTTCTTTTCATGACCAAGAAATTTATCTTGGAATAATGGTACGGTGCTGTTATTAAACTTTATCTCTGTTCATTGGTGCTTTTTCGTGCGACGTAAGCGCGAGGTGGGGTCAGTTTTGTGGTGACGAAATGGGTCGATAATAAATTAATAATAACACAGGAATGTTAAGAAAACACAGAAAAATCAATGAAATTATACAATCTTCAAGTGAAAATAGTTTTTAATTTTACTTATATTATATTATATTTTATTATATTTTAAAACTTTATAATATTGCTTCGACACAATTTTATTGTAAAATAAATAAAAAAAAAGTTAAGGCCAAAAAGAAAATTTGTTCAAAAATTCTTTATAAATAAATAAAATTGTAATTGTAATAAATTAAAATTGTTAACTATTTTTTTATTTTTAATTTTACCATATAAAGTAAACAAAATAGATTTGCAGATAATTTAATTTGGTACAAATAATGTTCAATAAAATGGTCTGTAAAGTTGTTAATTTACGAGATACAGCGCAAAAACCCTTTCCACACCTATTTCCAAGAGGGCTAATTTTCAAAAACGCGGCCAGCTTTGGGGCGATGTAAAATCCAGAGAAATTAGTAACATTAAAAAATTTAGTGAAAATTATTCAACGAAAAAACCTCTATGATATTGCTTTGTTGTAATTTTATTTGAAAATTACCGGAAAAAGGTAAAATTATTTTCAATTAACGATTAAAAGAAATAGAAATAAAGGTAGACAATTTAATTTGCTACAAATAATGTCTAATAATTTTTTTTATAGGATTGCCAGCTTACGAGATAGAGCGCAAAAACGCGTTTCGCTCCTTTTCTAAGATAGCGGCCGGAGAAAAGGGTGGGACCCCACAAACTTAAAGTTACACTTCCAATACCTACAACCGAAAAAATAAAATGTGTAGTTTAAGTAATTCATGCTAAGACATAAAACATGTAATATTTTAATAGACTACTTCTTTATTATCTGAATAGATAACAAGAACAAAAACTGATTTTTTGGAACGCTATGTATATGTAAACAAAGGGTCCAACTGCACATCACATCACGCATGTAGTGTTCGAGCAACCCAGCCGATTTTATCAAAACAAAAACGAATCTGGAAATGGGGGGAAACGATAAAAGTAAAAGAATATCACCTTAAGTTCCTTATCCATTGCGAGGCCTGTTTTACTGGACCCTCTGGATTTCTTTCTTTGTTTTTTCATCAATGCCACAGCTTTGCTGTACGTCTCGGATCGCTGTTTGTGTTGTTGAAGGAATCTCTTTTGTTCGCACTGAAAAAGTACACAAAGTCAATCTTATCTGATATTTACAAAGTTGTTTTAAAATATACGCTTGTTAACGACGCTATACAAAGATTATGTCTGATATTTTTATGGTAGCACCATTAAATCTGCTATAAACTTTATTTATTTTGCTGTAAGTGATCGTTACATTAACTTTAAGTATGGCGCAATAAGTAGGATTTTATAAGAGTGTAACTTTTAATATAACAAACGTAAAAATAGTTTTAAAAAATAACAAGCTATACTCTTAATATATTTATAAACTAATTTATTTATAAATACAATTTGCTTGAAACTGCTAGCTGTACTGAAATTGGACTTTTTAGTAGCCTCAATTTTTTAAGAATATTAAATTATGCACGTTTAAAAAATATATGTAACTCCTTTTTTTGTTTTAACTAATTTAGCGAAATAAGTATTAGTGTATATTTTTTAGTTTTACACAAACATATACACGTTCGATAATATAGGTTATTCCACGAATATACGACTATTTTGGATTATTGCGACAACGAATATGTTACTGTGCAAGTAGAAGTTTGAAAGTAAATTGGTCTAAACAGTGTTCCAATAAAATGGATCTACTGTTAGTTTGACACTTAAACTAAAATTATTTCCGTTAATAGATGTTCAGATGGACGCATAATGTATTGTGAAATTTAATCCGAAAATAGCAAAAATTTTTACGCAAACGGTCCTACAAATAAATACAATGACGTCTATAAAGCCAAAATGTGTTCATAAGACATTTGGGTTGGGTTTCCGTGAAATGTAAACACCAAAGAGGCTTGCCGGGTTGCTTTGATATTACACTATTTTATTACTTTATTAGGTACTGCAACTGTAATAAAATAAATATACTATTTTTATTACAATTGAAAAAAAAATGGCAAAACGATGGTTCAGAAAACAGAAAAAGGATCTAATATTTCATTTTGTTAGTTTTAAATGTTTGTTTGTTTTACATGGAGGTACTCTTTAAAAGTTTCGAAAGTAACGGGTATGGCATACCAACTATTGCTAGTTAAAGTACCGAGTCGTTACAGATTAAAAAGTAACGAAAGTTTACACACAGTTAAGAGAAAGTTTAGTGTAGTGTATTTGTTTATTGAAGCCAAAAATGCCGAGACCTTTTTAGATATAGACAACTTTATATTTAATGTATTTTCTCATTGTAAATTTCTGTGAATCTGATGGTTGATGATAGTTTTAGGAGGTTAGGAGAATTAGAGAGTAAGTAAGTTTTTTTTGTTTTTTTTAATACTAATTGAATATTCGACTAAATAAATTACACTATTTAATCACCTAAGTATTGTTACACTTCGTTTAAATCACTTAATTCAAACACCAACTTGTTTACAATAATACTAAACTCAATGATAGTAATTATATATTTCAAAATCTGAATTACAACTGTTCTATAAACTATCAACTGTATATTTATATCATGACTTCATATTTAATAAGGTATAATATCTGTCATAACAGTATTTTAAAAATGGCAAGAATTTACTATTCTACAAATCAGTACATTGGACAATTTAAATCGATACCTTAAACAAAATTTAAAACAGTCGTATATTCGTGGAATGGAGTATAGATAGAAATTTAGTAGAGGTAATAAAATAAAGGAGAATACTCCAGTAAATGACCGTTTTGAAGTGTAATTTCTCTTGTCATGACGAATTTGCTTGAAAATTTGGATTTAGGTTCTTCTTACCCTCTACTTCACTTTTACACGTGAGTTGCTTTTACTTGGAAGGTGAAAGCCACCCTTTTTTGGGGGTGAACAAAACATACGTTCAGAATAAGTCCCGAAATCGATACATTGACTAATTCTACGCAACTTTTATTTTATAGAGATTTTTCACTCAGTCAATACTTTTTGCATTAATAGCGAGTGAAAATGTTCATTTTTCAAAATAAAAACCACGTTTTCAGCCGGTTTTTTACAAATAACTTAAAAAATAATTATTTATTGAACAAAAACCATAGTAAAAATGTAGTTTAATAAAAAAAAACCAAAAAAAAATTTACGAAGTCACCCAGCAGAAGTAGAGTTGTAGCTCATGAAAACTAGGTTCTTATTTGTCGAATATTTCAATGTAAAATAACTAAAAAATTAACACTTCTAAGGTTCTAATTAACTCGTCAAAGGTTTTTGAATGCTTTATTTGTTTTTTTAAATTCTAGCATCAAAACTAAGCATCAAAACAAGCAGTTGTTTTTTTTTTTGGTAAAAACGTAAAAAAATTAAAAAATTTTAACAGTAAAGAAATCTAAATTTAGTGTTACTGTATAATTAGATATTTCCAAATTGTTTGAATTTAAAATTTTATATTTTTCTAACAGGGGTGTTTTATATCTAAAAAATAACAAGCAAACGAGGGACAAGTCCAATTTTGAAGTGGAGTTAAATTTAACCTTTATCCAAAAATCCAGATTTAGTGGTTAAATTGTAATAAAGTCTTATATTATGTTGTTTTATGTTCATCGAAATTCATTTACTTCATTAAAAGACGATTTGAATTAATTACTAGCTTTAATATTTACAATTATAAGATTTTTTTTTATATGGGTAAATTTCACCCCTAAAAAATTTAAAGAAATTTACGGCACAAGTTCAAATGTGAAGCATACCATTTGTCAAAGTAAAAACATTGCACGTCATAATTTATATAAAGTGACGCCACTTATATTTAAAATTTCCAGAACGTCAACCTTAAAATTCAAATTTTCCTAACACAGCTAATAATACGAAACCCATACGGAACTGCTCGATCTTTCGTAGGCTCCAACATGGTGTTATAATCAGAAAAATGTATTTATAATTATATTGGGAATTTTAGAATTATATTGATTAAATACAATTTTAAAATTGCCGAAGATCTAACACCAACATTGAATACGATTACAAGTGCTGTAACAGACATCATGAAAAAGAACTTAGGGTACAAACGAAATAACAAGAGGCAAAAATGGATGACAGAAGAAATACTATTACTAATGTAAGAACGACGAAGACAAAAGAATGACCAAGATGGCAGAAATATGTATGAAAACATTAACAGGCAAATAAAAGCAAAAATAAGAATAATAAATGTATGGGAAATGTATGGGAGCAACTCCCATACAGTCTTCGTAGACACACTGTCTCAAGACTAGCAACTTCAACGTGGAGTCATATGTCGCCATGTTACCTAATCCAACGGTAACCTTAACATCTTAAATCATTATTAGAAAATTTGTAAACTAAATGTAATTATCGTAAAATAGTTTCGAAACACAATTCAGATTTCTGCTTTTATCTGTGCTTTCTAAAAATTGCAAAGCAAAACAGACGTTGATAAAGGTGTTAAAAGAGACGTGGGGAATCTAAAATTTGCATTCCACGACACATCTTTTCAACTAAGCAGAAATCCTTAGCGAATTGGTTTCTTGTACTCGTACTGAGTAAATCCGATAAAAGTGAAAAAGACAGCAAATATTTGATTTCACGCAAACAGCGCCTTTGTATCTGTTGATACGTATTTCGACCTAATAGGTCTCATCAGAACAGTTATTCAAAGGTGTTCTCAACGTGAAAGATCAATATTTCCTGTCTTTAAGAAGCAACAATAACATGGCTTCGAATACGGACGCACTAGCGACATCTAACTTAACAATCGTAAAATAGTTTCGAAACACAATTCAGATTTCTGCTTTTATCTGTGCTTTCTAAAAATTGCAAAGCAAAACAGACGTTGATAAAGGTGTTAAAAGAGACGTGGGGAATCTAAAATTTGCATTCCACGACACATCTTTTCAACTAAGCAGAAATCCTTAGCGAATTGGTTTCTTGTACTCGTACAGAGTAAATCCGAAAAAAGTGAAAAAGACAGCAAATATTTGATTTCACGCAAACAGCGCCTTTGTATCTGTTGATACGTATTTCGACCTAATAGGTCTCATCAGAACAGTTATTCAAAGGTGTTCTCAACGTGAAAGATCAATATTTCCTGTCTTTTAAGAAGCAACAATAACATGGCTTCGAATACGGACGCACTAGCGACATCTAATTTAACAATCGTAAATAGTTTCGAAACACAATTCAGATTTCTGCTTTTATCTGTGCTTTCTAAAAATTGCAAAGCAAAACAGACGTTGATAAAGGTGTTAAAAGAGACGTGGGGAATCTAAAATTTGCATTCCACGACACATCTTTTCAACTAAGCAGAAATCCTTAGCGAATTGGTTTCTTGTACTCGTACAGAGTAAATCCGAAAAAAGTGAAAAAGACAGCAAATATTTGATTTCACGCAAACAGCGCCTTTGTATCTGTTGATACGTATGTCGACCCTTTCGACCTTCGCTGTTTGCGTGAAATCAAATATTTGCTGTCTTTTTCACTTTTTTCGGATTTACTCTGTACGAGTACAAGAAACCAATTCGCTAAGGATTTCTGCTTAGTTGAAAAGATGTGTCGTGGAATGCAAATTTTAGATTCCCCACGTCTCTTTTAACACCTTTATCAACGTCTGTTTTGCTTTGCAATTTTTAGAAAGCACAGATAAAAGCAGAAATCTGAATTGTGTTTCGAAACTATTTTACGATTGTTAAGTTAGATGTCGCTAGTGCGTCCGTATTCGAAGCCATGTTATTGTTGCTTCTTAAAAGACAGGAAATATTGATCTTTCACGTTGAGAACACCTTTGAATAACTGTTCTGATGAGACCTATTAGGTCGAAATACGTATCAACAGATACAAAGGCGCTGTTTGCGTGAAATCAAATATTTGCTGTCTTTTTCACTTTTTCGGATTTACTCTGTACGAGTACAAGAAACCAATTCGCTAAGGATTTCTGCTTAGTTGAAAAGATGTGTCGTGGAATGCAAATTTTAGATTCCCCACGTCTCTTTTAACACCTTTATCAACGTCTGTTTTGCTTTGCAATTTTTAGAAAGCACAGATAAAAGCAGAAATCTGAATTGTGTTTCGAAACTATTTT